TAAGTCATTATGAAAGCTGTATTTCTGATTACATTAAACAACTAAGAAATATGTATATGTGTGTGGACGCTTCTAATGTGTGTGAGAGTTACAGGATAGAAATAGCACTTGCTCAGATTGCTTGTTGTGGATTAAGTAATCTGGGATGGGTTGAAGGATTTATTGATTGTTGCAGTGATTCGAAGTGTAATCCCTCCCTTCCTCTCCCACAGCCCGGATTATTTCAGCACAGAGGACACAGCACGCAACAGGGAGGCAACACAGGCAGCATGATACTAATGACAGTACATGATTGTTGCTTTGAAACGTTGAACTCCCCCTGGAAAGATTCAAATGTGTTTCATATGGAAGCTGCAAAAACCTGGTCTTGACAGGTGGGTGGAATTGATTCGCTGGCCTATTTTCATGTTGGTTAAGAAAAGCAACTCTTTATGCCTTAAATAAATAAAAGTACATTCTAATGATATTTCTAGATAAATGTTTTACAGTCTTCTATCTTATATTGAAGTTAATTACACAATAAAATGTAAATATTTTATGTTATTTTTACGCAGTAGAACTAAACTTGTGACATCTCAGCAAGTGGAATTAGGAACATTTTCGCTTTGAATATAATGGAATAGCTAGTGCTCACAGGAGGCTCCTGCTCTGGGGATATGGACAGCTTCAACTACACAGACGAAGGCGGGCAGTCATTCCAGTATCAGGTTCAGAATATGGAGCCTCTGTATATGGAGTACAAGCCTCCTCCCAGGGACCTCATCCAGCTACCCAAGCCTGTTCTTTACCTCCTGATGGCTGCCCTGGTTGTAGTTGCTGTGGCGTATGCTATCGTGGGCCACCTCATCAAAGATCTCATGCTGGACATAACAGGTAGTCAGGTCTATTGGAGGTAGCAGCTGTCTCATCTTAGTTTTATTCCAGTACTTTTCTTGATGTCTACATAACCTTAATAGTCATATAATATTGTGCTGTCTATGTTCAGACATAAATATAATAAAGCACGATCATGTGTGAAATTATAGTTTAAAAAAGGTTGCCTCAGCTTGGGGGTTGTGATGGCAAAAGTAAATTGTTTCTTGAGCTGTTCTTAGTTTGATGTGATTGTCAAATGAGTGATGAGAGATGTACAACAATATGATTCACTATAACATAAAAAAAGGGTCTTGCTTCCATGAATATAGGGAATAAAACAACAATTAAAAGAATCAGTTGAATGATGCAGCTCAGTGTCAGCTCACAAACATATCTGAGGTTTTTATCACATTTGGTTGTTTTGCTTTTGTATCTGTATGTTGCTCAATACCTGAGACGAGTTAGGCAAAGCTAATTATGAACTCTCAAATATTAAACTTTTAAATTGTTAAATGTCACAATACTTTGAAATTGGAAATATAAGGAAAGCTACCAGGCACTTCTCATTTGGGTGTTCTTTATATAAATTTTGGCTTGGACTGCTGTGAGAGTCTGGCAGGAGCAGTTACAGTGGTACTGATTTGTATTCTGTACTGCTCCCCACCGCCACATTATCCAGTAGAGGCAAATAACATAGTAGAGGCAGTAAAAGCTTATTGTTGTATAAACCTGTGCTGTCTCTACATCAAATATCTCTTTATAACTTGAAAAACAGAGGAGAAAATTGATTTCTCCAAGTCTTTTCTCTTGGGGATGGAACAAAAGTGCAGCAATGATCAAGTTGAATTTCTACAACTGCTACTAATGTATTTTAAAACAGTGGGACTTATTAAAGAGAATTTTAAAGCCTGTGTCACTGTTATTTTAGAGTGGTGGGACTGGGATGTAGGGATACACTACAGTGTTATGATCTGTTCCCTCCACTTCTATACATCTGCAGACTGTTTGCTGGGCCCCGTCGATGAGGACCTGAAAAAAGATGGAGAGGTGGAGGGACTCAGCCTGCTGCACATACCGCCTGCCCTCAGCCACTCCCACCCAAATGCCTTTCACGTGTGGGACCAGGACAGTGTCATCATCCCCATGACACCCCCAGATGAGAATCCACAGACCAGCCCTCTGATGGCAGTCATCCCATACATACCTTCATTTTTACCCACCTCTCTCAGTATCAGCAGCCCGTCCTCCAATCAGCCAGTACCAAAGGAGAGTGATGCATAAGGGAAAGGATCCAAGTCAAGTTTTCATACGGTGCATCTTTAATGGTTCTGCTTTCCCCTACTCACTTAGTTCTTCGTTAGCTTATTTAGCTCTGTGTTTTCCCTCTGCCTCACCTTTTACTTGTTTTCTTTTTAAAGATGTTTGAAAAAGTTGATCAATTTTTGGGAAAGATCACACTCGAATGTCACAAATGCAGCAACACCATATGAGCAACAGAAACTATGCATTAAGACTTTTTATTTTGCCAGTCTGGGTGAATGGACTTCCTTCTGTTGGAATAACTGATCTCTGGATTTGACCGAGACCAAACAGCCAGGGATGCTCGGTGGGGAAGCCTTGTTCATTTTCCCAGTGGATTTGTGCCAAGCTACCATCATGATTATTCTCCTTCTCCTGCCAGACTTTCACAGCAGTCTGAGCTGTTACATCTGTTTGAGTGTAAGGTCTGATTTGGCAAACTTCAAACGTAGTTATGAGGAGCCTGTGGCCATACTCAGCATAAAATAATCCAAACTCTTTATTTGTTAATGTTTGACCATGAACATGGGTGTGTTGTTGACTTCGGCGAATGATGTCTTAAAGCATCACTGTTTCGGTGACCATATCATTTACACAGTATATTTTCAGAATACCTGATGTGCTGAAGAGCCACAAGCACCTTACAGGAGGTTTGTGTTGAATTCTTGTGTGAAATAAAGGTGGATGTCTACTAAGTTCATGTTTGCTAACACGTGTCTCCATCTTACTCTGGTACTAAATATTTCCTCTTTACGAGGATCAACCTACTGTAACTTACTAAGTAATAGGGTGACTGCTTTCAGGTGACTGTGTGATACCTTTTAAAAGTAGCTAAAATGTGCACAAGATTAATTCAAAAACAGAAGCTTCCGAAATATAGTAATTAACTCCAGCTATTTTGGTCTGTGATTCATTCAACCTATATCTGCTGAACTGTTAAGTGTGTTTAGAATGTAACTGCAGAAGACATGCAGTTCTGTTTTTGCTTATTGGTATCAAAAAATGCAGACAGAGTTTGGGGCCCACCTTAAGCAGGATTTCGGTTGTTTCAGAAGTCCAGGCCTATTAAAAGCACACGAAGGTTGTATCATCACAAACAAGTACACACTAGCATTATATCAGTGCTATTATTCATTTCCCTTTTTCTCTGTCTGTACTCATACTGAACTAGAAAGGAGATTATTCCACCTTCTCGTTGTATTAACATTATCTTTGTTTAAATTTAATTTCATTTTATTTCATTGTATTTTGTTTTGAAAGATCTCATTAAGTTGACATACTGTAGCTCATTCCATCTGTGAAACCCAGAGTGCCTGTATTTAGACAGGGAGAGCGATTAGGGAGAGAGGATTAGATGAGCAGCTTATCCTTTAACACAGCATCCTTTTATTACTTTAGAGCTGTGGAATTAGATAATCTGACATCTGCAGCCCATTCTGAATGGACAACATTGTTGTTCTTGTTATATGACAGGATTGATTCAGTTCAGGGATTGTTTCCAACAGAGTGTAGCAGAAATGATGTGTGGAAGTTCAGTGCAGCAGAGTGGGTCTGCATGATTGACATGTGTGAGATGTGGGTCTCACATAACAGCAGGCGTTTCGGGCAGAGGTGTTTATGCTGACTTTCCTGGTTTACATGGCATAACTGGCAAGGAAAGGCAAACAGCAGCATTGTGTCAGAGAGGCATTCAACATACCGTATCTGAAGGAAAGGCAAACAGCAGCATTGTGTCGGAGAGGCATTCAACATACAGATGTTTCCAGCACTCTTCATGGAAAACAGATGCACAGATGTTGAGTATCACTGGTATTGCAGCTGAACAGGCTGTGGGGTGCACTGGTGAGAAGATGTAGCCCAGTGAGGGAATGTAAAGAAACAGATGGAGTGGGTGGGGGCGGGTAGTGGAAGCTACAAGTGAATGAAATAAAATGAAATGTTTTGCTTTTCCATCTTCATGAGAGATTCAAGCAAATCGTTTAGTTAGAAAGCTGAGACCATGGCCTGTTGCTATATAGTTCAGACAAACAGAATGAGTAAAACAGTGTTTCCATTTAGCAAAAACTAAAGAGCAGCATTTTGAAACTCACAACTGAAAGGCTGTATCAGTGTACATGATCTGACTAGTCAATCTGCCAAACCTTTTATTTCATGAACTACACATATGAGGTTCTTCTTTAACATATGATTTCCTACCAAGTTTTGGTTCATTACAGTCAGTGTGTTGAGAACACTCCCAGCATGCACCTGGGCAATAGATTAATGAGCATGAGTCTAATTTTATTCATGGTCTTTTTAGTAAAGTTATTTTGTCCCACTTTCATAGCTATTAAATTAGATATTACCAGTGAATGTGCTCAGTGACACTGATGCATCACTGGTGAGGTGCTTTCTGATGGACATGCAACCAACCCCTGGAGGTGAGAGGTCAACATATACATGCATATAATTGATGCAAATGCGCATAGTTAACAATCATCAGTCTGTCTGACTTGATGTGCAACCAGGCAAGGCTTTTTTTTACCTCACCTGTCCTTCATCCTCAGTTGACAACTTGGCTGATTTCTTACTGGCACTGACTCAGTCCTGTCAGCTGTCGGCTCTCAGCCTGATGATACCAGACACCAGCAGACTGTAGCACACCCTAATTAGATCACGGTGGCACTAAGCAATAGTCAGTAACCCTGTAGTAGCCAGATGGTGGTTAAGACAGACGGTTAAGTCCTGTCCATGTGTTCAGATCTGACTGCATTATTTGAGCACTAATTAAACATTTGTATGGGTGCACTGCAGGCTAGAGAATCACGTTCTATAAGGAGGTGTGAACTTGAGTAACTTAAAGGCTGTAGTTTCTTGAAACATGTATTAGACCCCAGTAAAAATGTTCACATTTATTAAAGCCAAGCTGTCAGCCTGTAAACTGCTGCTCAGAACAACAGATCAATTCTCAGCAGAACAAAGCAATTTTATTTTAAAAAAAGAAATTCTAAAGGTTCCGTCACAGCCCTCCAGTCCCCTCCAACCAGATCATTTGGAGATAAGTCACAAGACTGCAACTAAGCTGACAAGACACATTCTTCACAATCCATTTAGTCACTCAATATACAGTTACTTTACACATATCTAGCTGATTCTCTTAAAAATGAAGGAATTAAATGCTTTAAAATGCCAGCGTTTTAAAACACCAGATTAACAGTCATTCCTTTGATTCTAAACTGCACTGCAGACCAACACTGATAACCTCAGCCTTCCCTTTGGCTAGGTCATCTACTCAAACTTCCTGTGAGAGAGGACCGTGCGAAAGAGGGAAGTGCCTTTAGCCTGGAAGTAGGTCACGGTCATCTTGTCCTTCGTGACTTCTGCATGAACGAAGCCTCCCATTGTTGAAGCTTGGCCGGTGAAGAACTTCACAGAACCTTTGGGAACATTATTCCAGTGACGGACATCAGGATCCAGGAAGTTTCCTGCACCACTCACCACGTAGCCTATACCAGACTCCTCAATATACTGTAGGGACAAAGAGAAGGGAGTGAACCCATTTTTGAAAAAGGGAAATTAATACCAGAAATGTAGGCAACATACTTCACATGAACCTACCTGCAGGTTATGGTCATGACCGCAGAGGTAGGCAGTGGCATTGTATTTATTGAGCAGGGGATAAAGGCTCTGCAGCAGACACTGTGTGGGCCCGTGCTCAGACACGGACCACACAGGGTAGTGGCCTGCTACCAGCAGGAAGTCTGCCTTGGACAGAGCCAGCCTCTCCTCCAGCCAGGTCAGCTGACGGTTGGCATCCACCTCATTCAATGGTCCTCGGGGCTTCTCATCTGTGAAGTCGTCAGAGTTGCCGCACAGCATGACTGTGTCGAGCATAATGATGGTCAGGGTCTTCCCGGTGTTGGGGATGTGGAAGTTCAGCTCATAATAATAAGATGGGAATTTCCTGAGATAACAAAAGTAATGTTCAATTAAATGTTTCCCCATCGACAGTTTAAGACTCGTACTAGATGTATGAATTCTGATCAGGATACAGCTGTTTTAAAGATGTTCTTTACCATCGGTTAGATCTTTTGCTGTAGTCAATCTGGGCTTTAACGTTCCCTGCATGATCATGATTGCCAGCAATCACATACCAGGGGACTTGGAGAGACTTTGCAGTGTACACAGACTCATACGTTTCCTGATACAGTAGAAGATTCAAATGAGAAACCTAGTCAATCATGTCCACCCTTTTATAGTCACTTTCATTTCCAGATAAACTGAACTGACCTGAAACCGGGGAGAATCCACACTCGTCACACCTTTGTAATAGAAGTTATCACCAAGGGCCAGAATAAAGTCAGCTCCCATCTGCTCTGCTATTTTGCCCATTTCCTGAGCAGTAGCTTTCTCTACATCAGTGACATACGGGGGATAAGGCAAACCACCCCAGTCTCCTACAGCCAGGAACTTAATGGAAGTTCTGTTTTCTGTAAGGGCACAGAACACAAAGTCGTAAAAGCTGAGAATCTGAGGAGCAAAAAGAGTTGTTCACAAGACAGTGTGGAACAATACTTACTGGAAACTCCCACCAGGTCTTGAAAGGCAGTAGTAGGATAGCAGTAAGCCACAGGGATGGCAGCAATTAAGATCGATACCAGTGTAAATGCCATCTTTAAAGATAAAAACAAACAAATTCAGGACTTCAGATAGCTGCAGAACTAAACACAGCCTAAAAAGAAAACAAGGAAATTAGTCAACCAAAAGTCAGGTGATAGATAACCAACAAAACTGGTGATACCGTGCGAGTTGTGCATTCCGATCTCTGCTTCCTTCCTGCTTCTGTAAGCAACAACACGCTCTTACTTTTTTTATGCCTAAAGGTGACATGTGATTGGCTGCAGCCTGAAACTGGCACGTCCCAGCCTGAGCTTGTAAAAGCTAATCAAAACAGCCATGTGCATGAAGCTAAGGGGTTCAAAGGTCATGTTTGTTTAAACATTTCACGGCATTAGAGCCTCTTTTGCATAACAACATGCCATTTATGAAACATACAAGTTAACCACAAATGAATTACATTAATCAATTTAAGCAAAAAAGTAGAATCTAATCCCATACTCCTTTCAAAAGAGAAGGTACCTGACAAGACAAACAACATGATTACATGAAGAGTAGCTGTCAATGAGCAGAGATAATAATGTCAAAGATAAAACACTTACAGCTGATTAGTGCTAATGTGTGCTCAGGCCCACCTGATGGGACACAGTCCTCACTGTGCTTGTCCTACCTGCCTTTTATCAGCATTCCTGGAAGAGAAGAGGCAGGAGGACTGGCCTCGGGACACGCTGCAGGGGTATGACCATTGCTCACAACCTGACTCAGTCCCACGACTGGAGGGTCATCTGGGCCATGTGTGATCTGTAACGATTGTTATAACTGGTGTCCAGACTCCACTATTTCCACTTCAGCATTAATCACCATCTTCCGTTATTTTTTTCCATCTATTTCCATGTTTTTGGATCATTTGAGAATAAGAAATGTAGCCAGCTAAGTTTGTTTCAATTGGTTAATGGTTAACAAAAAGCACAACAAAAGGTCAGCATGAGCAAATTATATAGGCAGTTTTGTGTTTTTGCCTTACATAGATTGCTCAAACATCTTCCTAATACATAGCCTATCAGAACATTTGAATGATATGTGTTGTGGCTCAGGAGGAGGCTTTCAACAGAAAATCACCCTAATGACATCAAACTGATGCCATTATGTTATCTCTGTGATAAAGAAAGAAAGCCTGTGTTACAGAGTGGAGAGATGAGCATTTGTTGATCAGGACAGTCTAATGAAAGATCTAATGAAGTTTCATTTTAGGAAGTGTGGGTCGTTACCTCACCCTCTGTTGCTTCTATTTGGACAATTCCCTTTGAAATCTCCATGGTGATACTGTGCAAATGCTAGATAGTAATATTTGAAATCCTCTGGCATTTTTAATGGAAGCTCAGGTTGACCCATTTTTCACAGCTTTATAGATTTTACACAATCCAACAAATGGCTGTTCCAATCTGAACTGTGGAGCTTCATCCAACGTAGCAAATGAAAAGCAAAGCTCTAAAATCTCACTACATACAACTAGACTGTACTTGTTTGTGAATTGGCAAACTGATGGTCAGTAGCTTCAAAATAACACTCATTTATTTTACAAGCAAATTTAACTGCATTCAGCATGACACAAATGAACAAATGTCTAGTTCAAAACTACAGGTTCCAACTAAAAACCACAGTGATACAGAACCAGTACACGCGATTTAAAAAAACAAAACAAAAACAAAACACATAATGATAAACCTGTTACTGTATACATTAACATGTAGATGGTGACTTGAAGTTAAAAGGGAACAAAGTCAAATCAGAAAGTTGCATGTCACCTAAAACAGTTTTTACCCGACAACTGGGGTGAAGGGCAACAAAACAAAAACAGCTAAATTCCAACACAAAGTCTCTTTTTTTCCAGTCCCAGGATCATCACTGAGGGTGAAGAATAAATCAAAAGTCAAAGGATGGCAAAGTGAGGTTAGAAAGGCTGCACAATACGTCATGCTTAGTAATTCATGTTGCTATATCCAGAGTATGAGCCTTGGTTTTGTCCTCCATAGTCCTGGTACATGCCATAGCCCTGCTGATTCCCCCAGGATGCCGGGTCTCCCCAACCTGTGGAAGAACATCAAATTGAGAGGTGTAATTCCCTTTATCTCTTTGTTTGTTTATACAGCACCTAAATGCATCAATGGATCATTTGTAGGTGTAATCAGGGACTGAGGAGCAGGTTCTATTTGACAAGGATGGATTCACTCACCGTAACTATTATACACCTGGCCCCCTGTCACTGAGCTGGGGTAAGCTGTGCTGTACATGGAGTAATTTCCTCCCGGGCCCTCAGTCTGACCTTGGGTCAGCATCTTCTTCTTCTCATCTCCATATCCGTAGCTGTAGGGGCTCTCCTGATCAGTGGGGGGAGGCATCGACTGGTAGCTCTCGCCCTTTGTGGTGCTGGAGTTAGAGTTGGAGCTGGAGATGGGTGGGGATGAGTAGGTGGTGGTTGTGGTGGTGGTGGTGCTGCTGCTGCTCTCTGGGTAAAAGGTGCCATAGCCAATGTTAGTGGCTGATGCGCTGGCGCCCGTGCCTTTACCTGTGGTGCTTGCTGTGTGATTACCATACAGTTTATCTGAAAAGACAGTTCAAACAAAATCAGAGTGCCACTATTATACATTTGTTTCCAACTTTGTCTAATCTTCCTTTGGTGCTACAGCTACAATGACCAATTGTTTTTATGATCAAACAATCTGCAGATTTTTTTTCAACTGTATAGTCTATATATAAACATCTGAAAACAGTGATCAATGTCCATCACAACCCACATGTACTGCTCATTTTGTCAACAACAGTCCAAAACTCCAAAGACATTCAGTTTACTATCATAGAAGACTAAAAAAATAAAAAGTTAGCATGTTTGGGGAAAAAATAAAACAATTATCTGATTTGTCAACATTTTTCTAGCAACCAATGTATTGATTAATCGGCTTCATTTCGCCTGCTGCCATTGTTCTCTCTTGGTGCAAACTAAAAAAACACACATCAAAAGAAAATGGAGCGTGACAACAGACTAACTTCACATGCAAGATATGCACAGCATCAATAATGTTCAGCCGTATTTACTTACTTACATTCCTAATTTCAACATCACTTCTCCATAACTTTAAAACTAAAAACCAGGAAGTATTAAACAACAATCCACTGGAAGTGCTATAAATAAAACAGGAGTGCTATATTTGTAACAGTAATTCTTATCTTTGCTATTCAGTACATGCACCAAAAACACAAACAAAAAAACATGACATGACAACCTAACAGCACAAAGCTACCAGTGATGACCAGTGTATACTTACGATAGCCTCTGCCAGTGCTGCTCTCATAACTGTAGCTTGCTTTTAAAATAAAGGAAAGAAAGAAATATTTAGGCTTAAGAAGCACATTTTTAGGAATCCTATTTTGTCTTTGACAAACTAGGAAGACACTTAGTGAGCGTAAGATTCCTTACTCTTGTTATAGCTGGGTCCTGAAGGAAACGGTTTGCCACGGCCTCTGCCTCTACCTCTGGTGGGAACCCAGCCACGAGACCCAGAGTCGGAAGGAATGCCACGGATAGTGCCAAACCCCGGGATGTGCTGTTGGGCAGGAAAAGGCAGGACATTTCATGTGAAGTGTCCTCAAAAATCAAGTCAATTAAAATCTAAGTTTGAGCTAAATAACTTACCATGTCAGTATAGGTGACCTTCTTCTTTGAAAAATATTTGTTTGTGTTTGACCCCTCATTGTCATCAGGGAACAGCTTTTCCAGGGCTGCGAGGGCAGCATAGGCTTTCGCCTCCTTTTTATTAGAGCCTCTCCCTTTGAACTTCTGCCCATCAACCTCCACCTAAGAGACAGGAAAGAGTCATTCGAGTTCAAATCAGCAAGAATTACTTCCTATTGTAGTTTTTTTCTTATTAAATTTTACCAGCACAGTCAGAAATGATCAAATCTTTCCCACACAAGGGCGTTATCAATTTACACAAGTGTGAATGTCTTTTTCTATGGGATATGCATGTACGTGCACATGAGACATCACAGCTGTAATGCAGAGCAGAGCCAGCCACTGTGGACATCCCCTTAAAAAGGTTTGTTTTATTCCCAAGCATCATTACACACAGGGAAAGTAAAGAAAAAAAAAAAAAAAAAGAGACATTTTTTAATTTTTAATCTCTTCAGTTTTGTCTCATACATGTGATAACTGCAGACTCACTTCCATGACGAAACACTTTTCATGGGAGCCCCCCGTCTCTGCAGACAGTTCATACTTCAGGCTGCGACGCTTCTCATTCAGCTCCATCACAGGGTTCTTGCCATTTTTGGTCAATATGGGACCCTGATAAATGCATGCAACTGTAAGCCCTTTACTCAAAAACAGATCACATACAGCATCACTTCTTCTTTCTGAGGGAAGCAAATGTTGAGACAGCTTTACTGTATGGGAGTTTCTAAAAAGAGGCTCCAGAGAGAACTGAGATACAGTACATACATCTTCTGACAGTGTAGAAGTGGTGGGTGGTTCCTGAGTTCCCTCAGCTTCACTACTGGACACAGATTTAGATTCTGAGCCTATTGGAAGGCCAAGATCTTGCAGGACCTTTGAATGACAAAAGTCAAAACATTAACTGACAGGACCCTGAAAGAGCAACAAGTCTTTCTTTGTTCATGTACACAGGTTAGACTGCAATGGAGAAGAATACTGCCAGACGCAAAAGAAAAAAAAAAAGTCAGTTTATGTGGCTAGAAATACAAGTCTTGCCTTGGTGGCTACATTAAGCTTGGCAGCTCGTTTGGAGGGCCCTGTGGCCTCGTAGGTCTTCCCATTTAAGTCCACTGCCATTGTGAAGACCGGTTCGTGGACTGGACCAGTCTGAGATGTAAGCCGGTAGTCCAGGCCAGGTCTGTACTGGTTCAAACGCATCACAGCATTCATGCTAAAATCATCATTGACTACAGGGAAAAGTAGCAGAAAGAGAAATAAGCGCAATCAAATAAATTAATATATTTGAAGAATGACACAAAATAAGTGGGTATTTAGCAGCACTTTCTCATTTTATTACTTGTATTTGTCAAATACGATACCTTTGAATTGTTTTATCTCTAGCACATTCACAAAATATTGTTTTTGTACTAATACGCTAGGTTTCTGTCAGCAGAGCCTAAATATTACCTAATTTAGTTTAGAGAAAAACAGCACATACGGTTAAGGGGCCAGCGTCAGTGGCACAGGGGCTGCAGTGTTTCCATGTGTCTGATCACACAGATCAGTCCCATTGTGTACTCATACACTTATGGTTGTAGGATAGGTTCACATTGTTCATGTATGCTAAAAGTCCCCCCCCCCCACTTTGAAAATGTAAATCCAACCTTTGATAACACTACACTTTGGGGGCATTTTGTTGCAAAATTACAGTTAGAATTGTGCCATTAGATGATTGATTTTTGAAAAATATGGCCTGTTACTCAGCAATCTATTTTTGCAGTTGTCACATGCAGTGTTAACAGTTTATTAGGCACAGGTATTGTATTGCATTAGATTTAGAAAGGTTTACATGATAGACTGGCATGTCAGCACAAGTTCACTCAGGCTGCATTCATAATGCATTTCTAAAAACTGATAAAATATTTCTATTTTATCATTACAGATAAAATAGAAAAAAAGAACTAAAATTACACTGAAAATGTCCATGAATTTGGCCCATTTAAAGTGAAATACAAAATCATATATTACAATGTCTCTGAAATGTCAGGGTCATGATTTAACGATAACGACTTTAATCTGGGCCATTTTCTCCTAACATCTTGTAGGTCATGTACCCACAGCAACAGGGGATCATTGGCCAGTTAAAAGACTCGGCCTAGACCATGGCCTCTGATACGCAATACTAACATGATTTCCTCTTAAATCGCTTCTGGAACTTCAGAAACTTCCTCTGCTTGCTGTTGAGATGAGCATCTTCTTCTTCTTTCTCCACAGCTGCATAAGGTCTCTTAGCCGGCAGGCTGGGATGTCCAGCAGATGGTATCTGGGCTGCATCAAAAAAAACAAAAAAAAAACAGATCTCCTCATCAAAGTGTTAACTAAACTGCACCTAAAGGGAAAAGGACACAGCTCACTAGGTACCTGTGCCTTCTCTGCCGCTGGCTCCCAGTGATTTCCGGGGCTTTACAGGTTTGTAGTCCATCCCCAATACTTTGTGCATCTGTCCAAATGCACACAGCCTCAAGGCAAACTGGGGAAAATATAAAAGTCAGGCTCTATTTCCAGTGTTTAATAATACGGGTGAACTACTGCTTGTATACATTAGCGGTCTCATCTTACCTGAGAACTGTGTGTGATGTCTTCACGCTGCTGCAGAGTCAGACATGCAGTGGCATCAACAGGTTCCTTCTCACATGGATCTTTAATTCCAGGGCCGTCTTGCGTCAGATACAGATAACACGGTACATTAATGTTAATTCCAGTGTATAATCACTGATGTTAGTTTGACAACTGTAAGAAAATATCGACACACTTGAGTAATGTGATATTCTGTTTTGAGATACTTTGATTCTCAAAAACACACCATCAGTTTTTAATTCATAGCTCAAATGCCAAGTAGTGCTATGCTGCTGGATGTTACAGGGACTATGACCAATGTACAAATGCAGATCCCTGTTCTGACTGCATAAGAAGTAAAACTTTTTTTTTTACATGAGATTTTATGCATATGGTGGTGTGTTGCTTATTTTATGACCGTTTTTCGAAAATTAGATATCGCCTTGTTTACAGTATTGCAATATATCGAATTGTAACCCCTGTATCATGATGTGTACTGTATCGCCAGATTCTTGCCAATAAAAAGCCCTTTTGACAACTCAATAAAAATCTCACCTTCTAAGAGGATTCCAGAGGCGACACACTCTAAAACCCTGCGGAGGGACTCGCCTGCTCCCATTGGTCTCTCTGCTGTACCGATAGCCTTCTCTACCAGCAGTTCAAGAGGCTGTGTGGGGGAAAAGAGCCAAGAGTATGTTAATTATTTATAATGGTGCCACTCAATTAAAAAACAAACAACCATAACCCCAAAAAAGAGGTTTTTGATCACAGAGCCGGAAAGAAATTCGCACAAATTATGTTGGTTTACACACAACTACATAGTGGCTACTATCTTGTGCATGGGCTTTCTTACCCATCCTGAGAGCGGCATCCATGTAGGAACACGGTTACACAAGTCCCTCATGATACGGAGCACCACAACGGCAGAACTCAGGTCACTGACTTTGGCCTGAAGACACAAACAAAACCAATTCAATCATTCTGATATCACCTCATCGCTGTGCTTTCTGGGCGTTCACAGAACAACCCCGAAAAGAAAGCAAGCACAAAAAGGTCCAAACAACTGAGCCATCTCCAAATCAACTGTAAATCTAATATGCATCAGTTAGAAATATTAGACATATGAGTCCACAAGCTGTTTGTCGTACAGTAGTGACGTTGACATTGAGAGAGCTCAGTCTGGCTGAGAGCATTTTGACAAAATCAAATTACAAGCTGGAGTCAATACCAATGACTTATCCAATCCTGTCATTGGTATGGATCAGCAGATCACTTTTTAACTGTTCTAGAACTCTTCAATTTCGACATTCTCAAATTATAAACTATATCAACAACAACAACAACAACTGAGCGCACAGTTAAAATCAGTAACTGTGTCTAAACAGAGAGAAAATTAAAAGTTTTTCACAGAAACAGTTCAACCTTATGTACAAAAAAAAAGGACGTGAATGCAAACCTGGAACCACTTGGCGTGGCGGAGAGACGCCAAGGCAGTTAGGCATTTCTGCCTGTCCAGAACGTCCGGCGGATCGTTGACTGTTCGCGTTTCTATTGACGAAGTGGGGTAAGAAGAAAAGGTACAGTTTGACCAAGGGGGTCGGCTCTGTCTCGCAGCTCAGGGAGCAGCAGCTTTCCACAAACCACCAGCAGCAGGGAAAGGGGGTTCTGAACAGCTAATGTGTATATCTTTGGTCCCAGCAAGCATTACAGTCACCTGTCATAGATCCCAGCTAATGTCTCCACAGTGAGTGAGTGTGGAAGCCTAAAGACATAGTAGTATTTACAACACTGCATGGCGTGTTGTTAATGTATGCACTGGATGAACTACAATAAACACCCCCTTCCCTCAGCCCCTTGGCTTGGGTTTACTGCTTTCACCCCATCCTGAGACAGTGTGTCCAGTTGGTCAAAGGTCCAGCGTTCCTAAAAAACTTGACATACTAAAAGGCAGTCAGCTGTAAATCACAAGCATTTAGAGAATCTTTACGTATACCCCACACTGCAGCAAAACTGATGTAGTCCCTAATCCAACAGTGGCTCAAACAGGCCTTATAAACGATTGGAAACACAAAGAGCCATACCAGTTTTGTGCACGTTTTAGCTCATTTTCTACACACCACCATTTCATCTTTCTGAATACTGATTTTCACACTGTTCCACAATGAATGTTCGCATGAGTGGCTCGACAGATAAAAAGCAGGTGGCCAGATGTAAAGTAGTGGTGCAACAGATCTGCACGATAACAGTCAAAATTACAATGTTTAACTGAAATGACTATCAGCTGGAGTTTGCATGTTCTCCCTGTGCCTGCGTGAGTTCTCTCCAGGTACTCTGGCTTCCTCACGCAGTCCAAAGACATGCAGCTTAGGTTGATAGGCACCTCTAAACTGCCCCTAGGAGTGAGTGTGTGTGTGTGTGTGTGTGTGTGGTTGTCTGTCTCTAAGAGTCAACCCTGTGATAGACTGGCAACCTGTCCAGGTTGTGCCCTGCCTCTCATCCAGTTTCAGCTGGGATTGGCTCCAGCCACCCGTAACCTATTCAGGAACTAGCAGCATAGATAATGGATGTATCGATGGATTATCAACAGGAACATGCATGCTTATTTAGGGGGGAAAAAAAAGTGTAGAGTTGCATATTAAATGTTGTAATATTTAAATAAAATGTAAGTCTTCATATGAAATCAGTGTTAAAAATAGCACCCCAGTTATGTAAAGTTCTCAAATAAAAGTGATTAATCCAAACAAAAAAGCTGCACAACAGCTGTAGGTCGCCTGCCTACTGGAAGTCTCCCACATGCAGCAGCAACTGCATTTGCATATAAGAGACCTATAAATTACAATCTACACATAACATGCATATGAGTAGTCAGGCAGTTTCCCTGTGCACTTGATTTGATGCACTTTAGCAGACTAAGTCTAACTAGTTGTGGAAGCTAATAACATGCTCACAGTTATTATGATGTTAACTGTGTAGCCCCCCCAAGTGCAATGTAGGAAATGGACTAAACTGCACTGAGACTGGTATGGTTAGTCATGCGGGGCTTCAGCAGATTCACCCCTAACCTTCAAATGAGCTCACTGTAACTTCTTATGTTGATTAACACAGAACCTCCACTAACGCTAACCAAAACTGTCATTTATGAATAAACAATGATTTAGTTGGTTTTGTGGTTTTTCTTGTCTGGCTGAATTTAAACTGTCACCAGAGAAGCCACAGACGCGTCTTTATTGTCGGTCAGTTTTGCTGCAGCTGGTGCCAAATGTACATGTTCAGCATCAACTACATGCAATACGCGCTGTAACTTGTTATTCTTGAAAAAGCCTTCACTTTAAACATGAAAACATTTCAACAAGAATAAGCTATGTTGTTAAGACATTGGTACAGATCAGTGGAGCAGTACAGTGTCTTCATAATGAGAACACAAAGATGTGGCCTGTGGCAGCTGAAGTCTAGCTGGGGGCTGGACCAACAGACGTACCTTCTGTTTCTGTGTTTTCACTCTCTTGCTCTGTCCTGACAAGGGGGGATGTCAGGTGGATAGTAAGTGTTAGCAGTGACTCCTTGGTGCTTGTGACAGCAATGGCTGCATCCTGTGGACACTGGCTTACTGTGTATGTCCCCACTGCAATAGCCTGTTACAAAGAAGTACAAAATTATCTCAAAAATCATCTCACTCCACATCTGTGTATTACGTTTTCATGGAGAATGCTGTAAAACAACTACAGGAACTCATTCCTACCTCTAACTGTACAGTTAGCTTTTCAGCCACTTGTCTCAGCAGGGTGACTGTAGGCTTGCTGGAACAAAGCAGCACCAGCTCCAGTTCCTTGTCTCCCTTTAGCAGGAGTCCTTTGGCCACTAGGCCCACCCTCACGACTCCACGCAAGACACGCTCTTTTGAATCATCACTATTATTGTTAGAGGAGGAAAAAAAAGTACTTTCTTATATTAAGTAAAAAACTAAAACATAATGCTTTTAAAACGCCATTTGATATACTTTTTAATCATTGGGACAACTGCCATCCAGACATCTCACTCACCTCTCTGCCTCTGTATTTTCTTTGCAATCTTTTGGAGTACACAACTGGTCAGACACAGTCTTCAAAGCACACTCCACATGGGAGACGATTTTCTGCACCGCCTCCAGCTCCTCTGCTGAAGGATACACTTCAACGTGTTTGGCCATAACATGACGATCATATGGCCTCAGGTGCACCTCGGAAGATGCAGCTTCCTTAATTGAGGGAAAGA